ACAAGGTCTTGAATACATCCCATTACTTAAGCAAGCAAACAAATAAACCCCTCCATTTTCTTCAATTTGGACATTGGTATTTATGTATTGGTTTTGTTTCAAATGCCCATATACCTAAAAAGTACAGGGTGCCCCAACTCCAATTTTGCATGTCATCAGTATCAGTATTCTATCTCTAGCATTTTTCCTGTTTAACCTTTGTTTTGGAGAGCCATCTGGTTTACCATACACAGCTTTGGAGTACTTTACTGCTGTAGTTTATTTTTCCTGAGCATGATTCTGGGTCTTTCCATGTTTTGCTTTTACAATGCTGCTTTTATGGTTCTTGTCTATGTTGTCTTTAGCACAAGGTTTAATCTAGGAGCAACTACTCCTAGATTGCACATTTTAATGTCACTGTATGCTCCTAAATTGTTCTTCAGTGGGGCTTTGATCTTGGCTGCTGATGGTAGTGTTCCCCTAGGTACAGCTGTAGCTTTGATGTCAACAATTTTTAACTTGGGTTTTAACTGGACACTCTTGACACAATAGAGAGAAGTATTTTCTTGTCAGCCTTTCAGAACTCCTCTTTCTGCTAATTGCTATTTCTGGATCTCCTTCATCTTTTCCTACTGGGTTGTGTACCATACTTTTCTTTTAGGCCACTGACCAGCTCCCAAATCATGACACAGAGGCTTCTTATTAGTAATGAATGCTTATATAGTGTAGGCTCATTTCTGGCTAGTTCTTTTAACTTTGATTAACCCCTTTCTCTTTATATTATTTTGCCTCAGGGCTTTTTACTTTTCTGTCCTTCAGTATGTCTTACTTTCACTGTTTCTCATGTCTGACTGGCTGGGGCTTCCTGGCTTCTTGTCCCTGTAATGTCCCACTGTTTCTTCCTCAGTCTCTTCTCCTTCCTCTTGTTCTTCTTTTCTCTCTCAATCCTAAATTTCTCCTCCTATTTATTTTCTCTGCCCACCAGCCATGCCAATCCTTTCTACTGCCTAGCTATTGGCTGTTCAGCTTTTTATTAGACCAATCAAGTGTCTTGGGCATGCAAGGTGAAACAGATGCAACACATCTTTACATAATTAAACAAATGCAGCATAAACAAATATAACATGCCTTTACACAATTAACGTAATTTCTGCAGCATAAACAAATGTAATACATCTTTACATAGTTAAAGCATTCTACAACAGAGTTGTGATTTGATAGATAAGTTTAGAATGCATGACATTCCTACGGGATAATAACTCTTCTAATAACTCTTCTGTCACTGAATGAATTTGTTGTTATCTTTCCCAGACTCTGGGTTGTCTTTGCTTCTTTGTTTCACTTGTTTTTAATAGTCTCCTAAAAACTCACAGCTTTTTCTTTTAAGTTTATTCTTCTCTCATATATTACATTCTGATCCTCATTTCCCCTCTTCTTCCCTTCCTAAACCCTCCCTTCCCCATCCCCCATCCAGTCCTCCATTTCTCTTCAGAATAGGTCAGGTCTCCCAGGAATATCAACCAAACATGGCCTATCAATTTACAGTAAGACTAGGCAACACCCTCTTGTTAAGGCTGGACCAGGTGACCCAGTGGTAGGGAAAGCGTCCCAAAAGCAGGCAAAAGAGTCAGAGATAGCCCCACTCTAGCTGCTGGGGGTTCCACAAAACCATACACAACCATAACATATATTCCAGAGGGTCTAGGTCAGACCCAATCA